CATCCAGATTCAGCTGCTGTTGAAACTGATCAGTTTCAGCAGAGGCTGAATCTGGACGCCAGTTCCGACTTACATACAGATTCAACTTAAGAACAAACCTACAGTCCCTATCGTGTACGTAACCCGGGGACTGCCTGTATAGCATAAAACTTCCTTGGGGCAGTAGCCAGCATTTTTTGTGGAAATATATTTAAATATTTCATTCTTTCTTTAAATTTACAGATACAAAATAATGTTAAAATATATTGTATCCTGATGACGATTGTAAGCCAAAACAGTATTTTAAACATTACTTTAAAAGTGTGTTATTTAAATAATACTGAATACATTTTTAATATCTGAAAGTGATAGCAGTGTGTGTAGTAGGCATGTTTTTCTTTTTGTCCAGTCTTAAATCACAGGGTCAGTAGAAAGAAGTTTCCCAAAATGTTAACCTTAGTATCATGCCATGTTAAACATTAAAGAGTGTAAATGCCAATTGAATGCTTAGGGGATAATTCATAAGAAAACTGCTGCTTCAGTTCATATGGTTTTCAGCTTGAATCTAATTTTTAACTCTGTGTATTATAAGATGGACAAAAGCTCTCTTTTCCCACAGAAGGCAGGACAAGAGGCAATGGGTTCAAACTAGAGCACAGGAGATTTAGATTAAATCTAGAAAAAAACTTCTTAACTGTAAGAACAGTGAGCCAATGGAACAGCATACCTAGGAAAGTTGTAGTGGCTCCTGCAAAGCAGGCTGGGATGGCCCTTTGTCTTGGATGGTTTAGATACAACAAATCCTATATCTTGGCAGAGTGCTAGGCTAGATGACACTTGGGTCCCTTCTAACCCTATGAGTTGCTAGTTCTATGTGTGCATAATGGGACATGGATTACTAATTAATTATAGGTAATATTATGCAAACTAGTCTAGGTACTACCTTAATTATTGGCACAACACCTTACTTAATCGAGACTCAGCCACCAGACTAGGGATAAACACTGTATGTTGAACCATATGTGGTCAAGCAGCTTTGCCCTTGAGCATCTGCATGAGATGCTCTTGATGTGAGCTATGATACTTCATTGCTGCAAACACATTAGTGGCCTGGGAACTTATGAATGGCAGATTGAACAGATAAATGGCAGAGTCTCATTAAGAATAGGTGAAATTTCACAATGTGTATCTTTTGGAGAAGTTAATGGCAATGTGATATTCATGGTCAAACAATGGCTACATTAATCAGAATGGTAATGTAATATTTCTTGGAACATAAGAGATGATCTCACTAGTTGGGTAGGAATGATTCATAATCATACCAAGCATAGTTTGGACTGACCAATGCGCATTTTAGTTCATGCCATTTGTAGTTAAATTGTCAGTTTTCGTGCACTGAAAGGTTGGCTGCCTGCAATATGTGAAATATTTGTTCAGTCAAGGCAATATCAGCTAAAGCTTCTAGCATGTGATGAAACGATGACTCTTCAAACTGCAAATAAAATGCCAGAACCTACCAGCACCTGACCTCCCTTATTTATTTTTCTTTTCAGATAGCAAGTAATCTTAACAGATGGTACACAAACCCCCAAAATACAATTAACATAGAACTGCAAAGTAGAAATGAAATCTTCAGCCAAAGCAGGTCATTTTCAGGCTTTGGTCCCTTGTGTTTATACCTTGTATATTATAGATAGAACCCAGTGTAGTTAAGGTTGCAAACCATTTGAATTACAACTGCCTATTCTTTGAATTGTGGGAGACTGAAAAATATACCCTTTTCCCCAGTGTTATAGCAAAATTGTAGTCATACCATTTTTACAGGCATATAGCAAAAACAGTGGAAGTTTTGAAACTTGTCTTGGATATAATTCTTGTGGCGAATTAGTTCTTTTGCTTATTTGAGAAAAAGATTTAATATGAGAAAGATTAGGAGCATTTGAAAAGAGGAAGCTGAACTAGTTCAGTAAAAAGTGCCCTTATCTCTCAGATTGTGCTTTGAGAGATGTATTTCAAGTTGATTACCTCTAGATTTTCTGTTTTTCCTGAAAAGAATACCCTAATGTTAATACCTGTACAACTATTACATTTTTAAAATAAAACTTTCAAAAAATAAATGATTTACAGAAGTTAACTTCCTGTGGTAATGTTCACCTACTTGCATTTTCTTTTTCTTTTTCTTTTCTTTTCTTTTTTTTTCTGAGCTGAAAATCACAACCTATTGCTTTTTATTTGTATGCCATAAATCTACTCAAGTCCGTATTCACTCCAGAGTCAATTGGAGTCTGAAATCTTCTTGCAATATTTAGTACTGGAAAGACTACTAGGAAGAGCAGACTGAGGCTTTCTACGGCAACCTTAGGATAGGTCAACGGATTATAAGCATTAGCTGGGAAGAGAGGTATAGCCAGCCAGTTATTTTGTATGAGAAATTTGTGCTTTCAACAAACATCTATGGAGTTCAGCAGTAATAAATTTGCATGTGAATGACCTTCTGTCAGAATGAGAGGCTTTAAGCTAATACAAGTAAGAAAAATTTACATTTCACTTGCCCTTCTTTACTGAATCAAACCTAGAGATAAATCATTATCCCAGGGGTAAACTTTCCAAAAGTGCCTCAGTGACTATTTTCAGAAGTGACATAGTTAATAGCACCCTAAATCTTACTGAACGTCAATAGATCCTAGGAGCATAAGTGACTAAGGGCCACATTTTAAAAGTATTTCAATACCTAAAGATGCAGATGGGGACCCTGTGGGAATTTCAAGTGCTTAGTCATCTAACTCCCATTGAAGTGAAAATGGCTTTTAGACTCCTAATCACTTCACTGCTTTTGAAAATTTTGCTGTGCAATTTAGCGTTGCAAGAAAAATCTTACTTACCATCAGAATTTTCTGGCTTTTGATGCCTTATCTTTCAGTGTTAAGTGTGTGAATTCTAGTTTTTTGCATTTTTATGGATATTTCCATTGGGTAAACTTTCCAAAATGCCTAAAAGATTTAGGAGCTGAACTCCCACTAACTTTCATCCTTTTGAAAAATGCTGTTTGAATTAGTTATCCATAAAGTACCAATTCACACATTTGTCAAAATTCTATATATGATATTTTTAATTTATGATCTTTATAATACAAAAGGCACATCTGGATTCAAAGTCAATGTACAGTATCTATGTCAATTTGGAGTTTTGGTATGACATGCAGAATACTGCATTTGGAAATAAAGAACCCATTCTTATTTGATGCCAAGTGTTCTCAGTTTCCATTGAAATCAATACACAAGAGAACTTCTGCAGATTGAGGAATTGAATCTTTTGTCTCATGAAATTGTTGGCAATTAAGCATATTGGACATCTTGCAAATGTTATATTCAGATTAAATCCCTCTTTCTAAAATGTGAGAAATTAAAATAATCAAAACCAAAGTGAATTTTCAATTAAATCTAAAATGTATGAACAAATAGCTTACTTGTGTATATGATATAACTATAGTGTCTAGACCATGGGTTCCCAAACTGGGGGGCGTGCCTCCCTGGGAGGGGTGTGAAGAAATTCCAGGGGGGGTGTAAGGTGACCCAGCTCCCCCCCCATCAAGTTTTGCTGCCCTGCTCTGTTCCTTCCCCCCCCCCCCCTCAAGTTTTCTTTTGGGGGGAGAGGGGGAATGCTGAAAAGCTTGGGAACCACTGGTCTAGACCATTGAGAATTAAAAAGTGATTAGATATTCTGATGTTGAGCACCATAAAAAAAATCCTAAAATGGATAAAATGCTAGATAATCAAACTAATACCAGTCCTGTTTCCTTTTTGTTGAAAAAAGGCACCTGAAATAGTCATGTGTTTTTTTTAATCATCTGGAGCATAGTCATGGTACACTAAACTGGGTAGCTAAGGAAGCATCATATTGCATGCATAAAGTATGTCTACACTGTGCACCTTAGGAAAATTAATCCAAACTAACTAAAATTAATTAAGCTAAAATGACTTAAGGTCAATTTCTTTTTGAATGAGTATGTCCAGACAAGATTTTAATGCAGTTTAACTAATTTGTGTATAATTCACACCTTTAATTAATTCAGATGACTGTTTCTGCAGATTTATTTACATGACCTCATAGTTTGGACTACGGGGATGTGTTGCAAGCATTCTGTACTATAGCTCCCCTGTGTGGATGCTGCAAGTGGAAACTAGAAGGTACCTAGTTTGTGGTAATGTTGTCCTGTTAAAATGTGTCTGCGTTAATCTAAACTTAGTAGCTTTTAGTTCATGCCTCCAGCATCCACAGGGGGGAGTTACAGCGCAGAACACTAGCGCATACAGCAGTTCACATCCCTCTAGTCCAGTGTTTCTCAATCAGTGGTACGAGTACCCATAGGGGCACTTGAGAGAAATCTGGGGGGGTATGTCAACATAACTGAAATTTGGAGAAAACTGAATTTTTGTTTTAAGTTTTACAGCATTTCATTATTTTTGTACTTTTTGCACCCAAAAATTTCATCACCTGCCCAGCTACAATTGTTTGAACAAATGTGTTGCACTGGTAGAAAAAAATGTTGTAGATGCTGTGGATACTTATCTTTTTTTTTTTTTTTAAAGGGGCACTTTATAAAAAAAGGTTGAGAAACACTGCTCTAGTCTGATCTGAAGAATCATATAGCCTGATTTGTCCTCATGTAGACAGCCCATTGACTGAAATTGAAAACACTTGAATGTATAGGATGTTCCTGTAATACTACCTTACAGTTTCTGCTAGTTAATGAGAAAAAAAGCTTGCTTTGAAAGAAGTGTATTAATGTGAATAAAATTATCTCTATAGGTTATTTTTTAAAAATTCAGTTTCAGCCTTGTTTTAATTTTGCAGAATTCAAGCCAAAACTCGGGAATTTCGAGAGCGACAAGCTCGTGAACGTGACTATGCTGAGATACAAGATTTTAACCGGACATTTGGATGTGAGGCTGACTCAATGTATGCTGGAAATGCTTCATATGACTCTTCCACAAATAGTGGCACAATGACTTTGAACGCCAGGCCCCAGAGCCCCAGAGAAGGACAGACAGTTGAAGCGTTGTATGCCCAAGTGAAAAAACCAAGAAATTCAAAGTCTTCACCTGTAGACAGGTAGGCACCAGACATCAGTCAATACTACATTTCAAAATTTAGCTTCATATTTTTGCTATGGGAGATGACTGTTCATCAATTGTAAATCCAGATCTGCATTTTATTAATGGCTTTTAAAAAGCCTTTGTGTAGAAAAATATCGAGTTAGCACAAATCTAGTCGTAATGGAATGAGAAGTACAAGCTGTTGTAATGATTCTAACATTCATCTCATTCTTAAAATGGTTTTGGACCCAAGTTTCACCATTTAGTATAATCCAAATGATAGACAACTTGTAACAGCATCTGGTTTAATTATCAGAGGTCTTGATATTATGATTGGGGCACAGTGACAGTTCTGAATTCTGTTTGGAGCAATTATTTAGCTATGCAAAATTCTTGTAATCTAAGTAAAGCTTATGTAGATTCTGCTTTTGTTACAAATCTGAATCTCAGCACAACTTTGTAAACTTTTTGGGAGAACCTCATTCAATTAAGTAACTTAGGGCAGGCTTTGGGCCAACATTCTTTGTGGTGGGGAGTTTGGTGGTCATAGGGGGATTGTTTGTTTGTTTGTTTGTTTGTTTGTTTGTTTGTTTGTTTGTTTTAGTGACCAAACTATGCTAAATATGTGAGGTTTGCATTAATTCATTCAAAAAATCAGGTGAAACACTGCTGAGATTTGAATTCACCTAAAAATGTACAGCAAAAATAGGAATGCAAAACTCCACTCTCTAGAACTGTCCAACATTTTTTGAACTTCTGTAGATCAAATGAGGCAAACTTCACATAGCTCTGAGTATTACATAACTAAGAAACTTCTGTCTTGTTTAGTTCATATTACTGGTGTGGTAGCTTTGCATTATATAACTAAAGTTTATAAAAAGTAATTTTAAATTCAGAAGACACGATTCAATGGCATATGTACATTCACCACAAATATATTTTAGCTCCAAGAGGCTGCAGCACTTACAATAACCCAATGAATCCATTTCTTCTGGCCACAGTATTTGAGGTCTGTAACCTACATCAGAATAGGACATTGAATTTGCATATTTCACTAAAAACCAACAGATGTTAAATTCCCATGGTGCCAGTGATGATGTAGCATTTGACCTCAAGGGAATATAACCGTCACCTATAGTTTAGCTGATTGTTTAGAGCTATTTTTAATAGAGGGATGGAAACTCTTATGGGTAACCCTCAGTTGGCCTTAATGGGAAGTATTTTTTAAAAGGGGCCTTTGATATGGCAGAAATATGTACGTTCTAACAGAAAAATATTCCATCATATATTGAGAAGTAATGAAATTTTAGGTGGACTTTGCCAAATATTTTTACTAACGTTCAGTAACATATGGCTGCTTTTCCTTTTTTCGATCACTCTGCTTTTCTAAATTGCTTAGCAAAAATGCATTGTATAGGACCTATTTTTTGTGAATAAAATAAAATTGTTTATAATAAATACGGCCTGAATATACAACTTATTTTGTATTATGGAAAACTTGATGCTTTTAAACAAAGACTGTTTCACCTCTAGGTTTGGAAGTTTTGTATATCTTCCTGTTTACTTACTGCTGTATTGACCAGTGCCAATATAATTGGGTGACAGAAATCACTTTTAGTAACCTTGAAAATCATGATTGTCTGGTTGCATAGCATAGTTGCCACACTGAGTTTTACAACTGTTTTTTATTAGACCAAAGGCACTGTTTCATGCCTGAGTTGAATAGCATAAATGTCATATGAAGAAAAAAAGAGTTACCTTTGATGAAAACCTGGCAGGGAGAAAATAAGACCTGCATGACCTAGCTAACTGTGTGGGATCACTGATGAAAGATCAAGGAGAGAGAGTGAGTGCAAAAGTAAAGTTATGGTTGGGATATTGTTGGACTGTGGTGATAATCAAGAGGGCAGAATTGAAGAGAACACTAGTCTACTGTTTGCACCTTCATGCGGGTCTATTAGTTGTGGAAGTACAGAGGAGTTCACTATTGAATCATGCTACAGAAAAGGATAGACCCAACACACCCATCAAAATTGAGAAAAAGCAACTCAAAAGTTAGAATTGGAGTAGAAACAACTATCTGTACTAAGGGCTTTGTGAAAACATGGCAGAGAAGAAGACAGGAAACCTAGCAAGAACGAAACCTGGGGAAAATGAAGAGTTGAATGAAAAGAGAATGGTAATTATTATTTATAATTGTAAAGTGCCCTTCCCAGTTTCCTTCAGTTTGTTTCTGGGTTCTATGACATAATAGAATATTCTTCAGTAGGACACTAGCCCTCTGCTCTCTCCTCCCACTTCTTATTAGAAATCAAACTCCCAAATTGAGTTAGAAAGCATCTTCATTAAGATATGGGTATTGCAGAACATCTTAGAGGCTCACCTTAATTTCCTGTCAAAAATTAATCTGTAGCTGTGGACCCTTTACTGAGAGAGAGAGCTTGACATCTGACTCATGCAAGAGCTCAGTCTCCGTCAGATGAATACAGCAGCTGCCAGTCTTGGGCACAGAGCTGAGAGCCAGTTTTTAAGATAACTGGGTGGGCCACAGTCTATTTAGGAGTTTCTGAATGAAGAAAAGGCTCTTGAATTGATTTAATATTTATTGGGCGAGCCTGGAGATTGAAGTGGTATGTTCATAATAGAGCATCATATGTGCATTTCGTCTTTGGCATGTGGGTTGCTGTATGCTTCACCATCTTTATCATCTTGTTGGTCTTTATGGTTATCTCCAGACACAGCCTAATACAGTATCCAGGCCTGGGAATACTGAAATTCTATTGTAGGTTATTCAGAAAAGGGCAGCATCCCTGTCTAGCCATTTATAAAGATATTCTTTGACCCTCAAGGCCTGAGATTGTACATTGACTTGATTTGTGCCTCATCACTGTATCAGCCTTCTAGTTTCTTGTCACCATCTTCCAACCCCTGAATAACTTGGCCCCTCCTACTCACTGGCTCTCATTTAGTTTCTGTTTGTCTCCCCTGCCTCCTCTTCACTAATGATGCCAGCCTCATCTGCTTTTTGTCATTTTCCCACACAAATATCTCCATGTCTTTTTCTGTGTTGTCTCCAATGCACAGACTGCCCATTCCTACGCTTGTTCACAAAGCTGCTATCCCCTCAGCAATCAAGTTTATCCTGATGACCCACCTCTTATGATGCCCACTGGGATTTTGGTGACTCGTAATGGTTAATTTGAGAAGTAAATGGGAATAGTATTTACATCTGAAACATGTTGTTTATATTAGTGTTGACATAAACATGTATCACATTGATGTGACTAATCACCATTTTGATTATAAGATATACCCATTTGCCCTATTTGTGTTTAAATATATAAGCTCTCCTAAACAGAGGCCATCTTTTATTTTATCTTTGGAAAGTGGCTAGTGGCCATTGTGGATGCTAGTAGAAATGGCTACAAATAATATTTCCTCAGTGAATCATTCGGTGAAATGTCGTAAGAGGTTTCTAACAGCATCCCTGTTTGAAATGTTCAGTTCACATTAAATGTGGTGTGGTTTAGTTGGAACATTTTATTTTTATTATGGGTTTACATTTAGTGCCAAACAAAATTTGATGTTTAAATATGTTTGAAAGGTTATTTGAATTTTCATCTGAAGAAACCTGTAAACAAAATGTCTTCAGAATAGCTTGCATTCTACTGTTGAGAAACTAAGTCTAATCTTTCCTTAACTTACAGCAGAACTATTGTGTATAATTGTGAGGCCATGGTCGAAGTTTGTTTTTCTGTAATATCCTGAGAATTTTATTTACATCAAGATTATCAAGTTGTGTAACCTTAACTGTCATGCTACGGGAATGATAACAAGCAGTAGATAAAGCATGTAAACTTACAGCTGCTCATTACGATCTTGTTCAGGCTGGTTTCTTTGTTAAGTAGTATAAGGATGCTATCATGATAACATCTGTGGGATATGACTTAGGTGTTGTCCTGGTAAACTGTTAGATAAAAACTAGCAACTTTTTTTGCGTTCTAATATTTGTAATTCATATGCTACTGAAAATCCATTTTTTCCTTGCTGAGTTTGGGTGCTCAGATTTGTTTTTAACGTCTTGAGAATTGTTATGATGTTTGACACATTTCTGTGGCATATTGAAAAGACAAAGAAATGTTTTTTCCTCAAAGCACCTATCAACACCTTTTTCCAAATGAACCTTAAAAAGATGCATATAATGCCAAAATAAATAAAAAGAGAAAGAGGTGCTTGCTTACTAACTGGGGATTTAGATAACATTGTTGGCAATTCTTACGCAAAAATTAAGGTGCTTCACTGACTAATTGCTGCTTTAGTTATGCCAGTTTTGACCTTAAGAATTCTGTACAATAGAATTTATGAGGGCATTCTCTAAAAATCAGATATTTTCCTCAATAAACTTCAGTATAGTCTTCATAGGTACTAGAAATAAGGAGGCTGGGGATGCTGCTGTACCCCCTGTCTTGAAATAATTTACATTGTAGTTTACACTTTGGTTCAATGGCTTTCAACACCCCCACTATATATACAAGCCCTTCTAGCATCCTGAAGGGATTTCAGATTGCATCAGAACTAATTCTACATGCAGAATTTAACTGAGGTTAGAGGAAAATAAATTAGTGGTGGGCACTGTAAGCTGTTCTGTGTGTTCTTTTTTTTAAGAAGGGTACCATCAGTCAAGTCATGTGTATATATTTGACATTGTGAAGTTCTTCATTTTGAGCTTTTACAAAATCCTTGCAGATTTCAAGCCTGCAGGAATGTAGGTAGATAACAAGCCTCAGTGATTTTCAAAACCCATTTTAAACCTTAATAATTCTAGTCATATCACATTGTCTCCGATACCATTAAACATGATGTTTTCCAAATCAATTTCTACGATTTACAGTAGGTGGCTTTTCGTAACAGTGGAGGAACTTGTATGTTCCAAGGATGAAGAATATTGAAACTGTAACACAAACCATGCAGTTTGAGGGATTAGTTATCAACTCAATTGAAAATATATTAGTTGTC